GTCCTCGGGTCGCCTACGGCCCCGGGGGAAACCGTACGAGCCCCGAAGAAGCGCAAACTTTTGGCGTGGCGGCCTCGCGCGCAGCGTCGAGGCGCAGAAGGTCGGACACAGCGGCGGCACGCGCGCGCGCCTGCCCGCCCGAGCCCCCAGCGACCTCTTAGGGCGACGCAGCAGCCGGCCGCCATAGCCATCTGGGCGTGGAACGCAAACATGGGTTGAGGCGCGTGGAACAGCGGCGGGCCCCGTTTCTGTATAGGAGCGGCGCGCGCCGTCGCCAAATGAGGCGGCGTCGGCGCCGTGTTCCGGGCACTTTCCCCGATCCGTGGATCTGGCGCTCGCGCGCCAGATCCACCGATCTCCAATCCATGCTAGCGCGTGCCCGAAAGTTAGGCTCAGGAGAAGGAGGAGGAGGAGGAGGAGGAGGAGGAGGAGGAGGAGGAGGAGGAGGAGGAGGAGGAGGGGCTTCGACCCAGAGGCCTCGACGTCCTGGTCGGAGTGAAGTCGCGGGAGAGGTCCGTGGAGCCGCGAGAGAGATCGGCACCTCTCTGCCTCCCCGCAGCTCAAACTTGTCGCCCTCGGGAGCCTGGCTCCCCCCCAGCTCCGCCCGGGAGCGCGCGGCTTCGCCGTCTCACGGACCCGTCGCTGATGCGTCGGCGAAGCATCTTCGATTCGAGGCCATCGTGTCCCTCCTGGGCCAGTCCTGACGGGCCTGTCTGCCACCGCCGCCACCATAAGTCGGGGGGGGTTGGAGGAGGAGGAGGAGGAGGAGGAGGAGGAGGAGGAGGAGGAGGAGGAGGAGGAGGAGAGAGGAGGAGGAGGAGGAGGAGGAGGAGGAGGAGGAGGGGAGGAGGAGGAGGAGGAGGAGGAGGAGGAGGAGGAGGAGGAGGAGGAGGAGGAGGAGGAGGAGGAGGAGGAGGAGGAGGAGGAGGAGGAGGAGGAGGAGGAGGAGGAGGAGGAGGAGGAGGAGGAGGAGGAGGGAGGAGGAGGAGGAGGAGGAGGAGGGAGGAGGACGGAGGAGGAGGGAGGAGGAGGAGGGAGGAGGGAGGAGGGAGGAGGAGGAGGGAGGAGGAGGAGGAGGAGGAGGAGGAGGAGGAGGAGGAGAGGAGGAGGAGGAGGAGGAGGAGGAGAGGGAGAAAGAAGCGGGAGAGCGCTCGGTGGCCTGGCTAAGAAAGAAGGAGAAAGAGGAGGAGGAGGAGGTATAGGAATAGGAGCAGGAACAGGAAGAGAAAGAGGATAATCGGAATAGGAATAGGAATAGGAATAGGAATAGGAATCGGAGGAGAAGGAGAAGGGAAGCGCTCTGCCGTAGTGGATCACTGCATTGCACGCGACACCCGCGACAATCAAGTCTTCGATGCGGCACCTGCCATGCCCCGCACGCCGCGTCGCCAAGCTCGTAGACCCCCAGCTTTGGAAGACGGACTCCCTGTCCGGCATCTTGTTGTCTTCGGTTTTGCTCGATCCGCCGCCTGCATTCCCACTGTGCAGCCTGTCCTTCACGGAGCAGCACTGGTCTCCGCTTTGGTGAAGGCTAGTTACTCTGGTGCACGGGCTCCTCCAACTCGGGCTGCGGCCTCTTCAGGCATAGCAGTGCACGAGCTTCTCGACATCGCGCGAGATTCTCCCGACAACCTCTTCACAAACATTGGTCGCGACAGGCTGCGCAGGTTCGACGAGTCCCACGTGGCCGTAGAGCATTGGGCTCCCAGCTCAAGGGTCATGCTGCGGACTGCTGGGCGCACGGTGCTGTCGGAGGCCTCCTCGTTGGGGCTACCGCAATTGCCAGGGCACGTGCGCCAACGCATGAAGAAGTCAAATGATATGTTTAGCCACGCGCTGGACAGATTGCAGTGGAGACTGTCGAATTTGGGGTTTCTGCGTGGTCGCGCAGGCGCGTGACAGCTGGGGTTGGCTGTTTATGAGGGTCGTGCAGCTGTCTAGGGCCCTCGCGTGTTCTGCACTGCATTGTGGACGTGCTGTCAAAGCGGGCGCCACCGGAAAAGTTGTTGCTTCCTGCACAACTGCCCTGCTCTCCACGATGCGCTCCACCAGCCCGTTTGCACCAGACGCGGTGCTTCGCTGGGACCTGAGGGCGCCCACTGCAGTGTAGCGAGAACTTGCACGAGCTCGTCCTTTCATGGTGTGCTCGAGGTGCACAGAGGTGATGCGGCGCGCACCCGCGGAGATCCAGGAGACTTCGCTGCCGGGTGCGCTGTCGCTTCGCGCGGACTTGGTGGCGCAGGCCCTCCTGGCCAGCAAAGCCAGGCTCGCCAGAGCAGATCTTCTCTTACGTAGAGGCTCTGCCCGAGCTGCTCGACGGGATCCGGCATCTGCAACCATCTGGCGATCGTGCGCGTTTATCTGACCTTCTACGGCATGGTGATGGCCACGTCTGACCCGCTTGCCCACGCACGCTCTCCTCGATGGGTGCTGGCAGGAGTTTCCTTACCCTGCCTTCATCAGGCCTTGGGAAATCAAGCAGGCTTACAAGTGGAAAAATCAGCCGCACATAAACGTGATTGAACTCATCGCTTTTCTCACATACACTCGTTCATGCAAGAGCTCACCCTTTTTACACGGCAAGCGTTTCCTTTCACATCTTCGATGGCAAAGTTGTGGCTGCAGTCTGGGTGAGGGGTCGGTCCAGCGTCAAGGTGCTGAACAGACCCCTGTGTCGTTTTGCGGCGTTCGCAATGTCGGCGAACACTTATGTGCTTACTCTGTGGACGATCAGTTCTTGGGACTACGCTGATGCAGCCAGTCGGCTGCACTTCCAGCCACGAGCCCAAAGATGAAGGTCCGACATCGTCCCAGAGTGGCACACCTCACGTTTGCCCGCCTTCAATCGACTACACTTGGATGATGCAGCGCCGCTGTTTACATATTATTTGCTTCCGTTGACCAGCTTTCTTGCGCATTGCCTGCGTCTTTCGACGAATTGGACATAGTGGCCAACGATATTGCCAACCACTTATACTACGATGACTGTCCATTGGGGTGGGCAAGCGACTTCTGTTGTAGCATTTATTGCCCAACATGCCATAGGAAACTCGATGTTACAATGCATTATTTCAACCTGGGGGTCAAGTCCGCAAGGCGGGTGAGGGCTTTGAAACTGACCTCCGACCCTGTGCAGGGAACGGTTGCCATCGCGCTCGTCAACGAGGGGCCTCAATTGAGCTGTGCCCTCCTGTCTTCTTGGCTTCGTCGGCTTGCTCCGCACCGGCGAGATGGATCGCCAGCTGCTGTTCCCGATGTTCATGCAGCAGGGCAGCCGTGCAGCTCCTGGGCGGCAGAGGGGCGCGGGGCCATGCTCCGGCCGAGACCGTCCTCCCGAAGCTCCGAGGGGTGGCGGCAGCTCTCGGCCCGCACCATCCGCAAATCTGACACCATACTGTCCTGGCATCGCTCGGACGTGCGCATTTTTTCGTCGGCGAGGACCATCGAGGAGCATCCTTGATCATTTGGCGAACAAGCCACGCACGAAACCAACAAAAAGCACAGGGAAGGGACGCCCGAGCGACTCCATACTGTGTGCGCCGAGGCGGCACCACATGGAACCTCGCCCGATAGATCTTACGACCTTACGCAGACGTTGGGGCGTTGGCAGGGCCCTCGTGCCGCCAAAGTCGGCATCGATCAGGCTGCAGGTGATCTTGCTCAATGTTCGCGCTGCCCGATTCGGGGCGCGATCGACTGGCCAAGGCTATTCGCACGTTCGCACGTTGCCGGCTTCACTCCGCCAGGCCGCTCTCGGTGGGTAGCTTGGGCTGGTGTGCCGCACCAGTCTCCGTGGGGAGTGTTGGGCATGTGTCGCATTCCAAGGGGGATGTGCCAGCCTGCCGGCGTGCGTTCCGACGGGGGCGCACGACCTGTGGGCCACTCAGCTCCTAAGCTGAGCCTCGCTGGCCTGTTTTCTGAGTCAGCTCAGCTGCGCAGGTGCCGGGGCATGTGCTCTCCCTGGTGGACTCCTGGTTCTGGCTTGTGCGCGCGGCCTCGGCGGTGCGGCGGCACAAGGCACCACGGTTGGGCACCCAAACACATGCCTATAGGTATGCGCGCTCTGTCGTAGCAGGTCCCTATAGATATTTGTTATCCGAGCTGTCTTTGGCTAGTCCTAAGTACAGTAAGTATTCGCAGGCGGCGCCAGCACGAAACGTTACGTTACTGGGGGGGGGGGGGGGGTCAGGGCTGGTGACGGCCGTTATCGTGAAAAAAACGCTCTCTTACTTTGCCTGGGGGATCGATCTTCGGGGCCTCGGCAGGCGGTGGATTTGGATGTTGGATGTGTTCGGGCCCGGGGGGGGCCAAATACATTCAAAAATCCACCGCTTGCCATCGCCCCCGAATGTCGGACCCCCAGACGGTGGTCACGGGCAAGTCCCTGACTCGCAAATTTAGGATCCCAAGATCGCACTGCATCATCGGCGAAGTTGCGCGATCTGGAGTCTGATTTCCTCCATCCCGACGTCGCCGATGCATCGGCGACCTGTCCTGCCTCCCTAAGCCTGATTCCTCGCTCCTCCTCGCTCTCCCTGGCCACTTGCTCCTCTCCTTCCCCTCCTCCTCGTCCTCCTCGTCGCGCTATCCTCATCCATCCTCACCCCGCCCCCCGCTCCGCGGAGGGGGGACCCCCGCGGTGCCGCCAGGGGCGTCCGCCGAGCTCCCCCGCGAGCGTCCGAAGGGGGCGGGGCCTTTGTCTGCTCCTGTGCTCTTCCGCCCTCCCGCGGTCCCGATGGCGGGGCTCTCTCCGACGGTGGCCCCGGCGCGCGCGAGGTCCTTGACCCTTCGGGGCTGAAGAGACGGGGGTCAATGCGACGGGGGGGTCGGCCAGATCGGGAGCGGAGAAGAGGGGGGTGATGACCAGGGGGGGGGGGATATCATGGCGCGGGCCATGAGAGTTCCTCAGATTTCATGGCGCCTCTTCTTATTTCATTACGTCCCAGGCCCCCCGCTGGGCCGCGCACATGCCGCCGGTCATGATTTGCACCCCCCCCCCTCTTGGACACCCCCCTCTTGGCCGCTCCCGGCCAGAGCGCCGGATCTTGCAGGATCCTGCAGAGTCAGGGGCGCACTGATGCGGGTTAGCGCACAGGATCCCGCAGGATCCTGCATGATCTGGCAGGATGCTGCAAAGCCTGGCTGACCCGGGCCTGGATTGACCGGGGTCAGATATCCCCGAGGCTTCCCATTGAAGAAGAACAAATGGCATACTTATAAACTTTTGACGGTTCTCGCGAATTTCTTGGATCTGCGCTGGGTTTCCAAGCGTCGCCTCCATCGCCGCCCCTGGCGCGCTCCTCACTCCAGGCAGGGGTGTCTGGCGCAGGTCCAAGAATTCTGCACGGACAGTCGACAGTTTCTTCTATCCCAGGTGGGGTCGTTTTGTAGCAAATCATTTGAGTTTCGTATACCCTCGCAATTCCGTCTTTGGATTGCATTCGCCTCGATTAGCGCCTGGTAGTCGATGAGATGGCGCCGATTTAGCGCCGATTTATCGCCGACGAGCGCGTCGACTCGCAATCGCCAGCAAGATGGTATGGGAGGCTCCCACGAGTCTCCACCAGGTGGTCGGAGCAGATGGAGTCGGAGGATCGCGCCGCACCGCCGATGCGTCGGCGGTGCGGCTCGATGTGGAGCCGGATCTTCTCCGCGCCGACGCCGCCGACGCACCGCCGACGTCGCCGATGCACCGCCGATGCCTTGCCGATGCGGCGCGACCCTCCGGCGCGACCTGCTCGGAGCTGATGCGGGAGAGCCCTGGAGGTCGACCCTGGCGCTCGCGGCGCGGAACGACACCATGCGAGGAAGGACAACGGCATGCTTGTACACGCCGGTCGCTGAAAGCATGTGTTTTTGGATTTTTCCAGATCCCAATCTACTTCCAGCGCCTTCCTGCTTCAGATCTCGGTATGCTTTTGCTCCGTTCTGTGAGGGCCTGAGCCCAATTCTGCTTCATTCGCCTTCTACTTCATGTTTGTACCTGCTTCTTCCGACCGGCGTGTAAACTCGATGAGTTCCGTGCGGATGTTTTGGATTTTGGATCGGCGCTGGAGCCCCCTCCCTGGCGCGCAGGCCGCGCCAGGGGCGGCGCTGGAGGTGCCGCTAGGGGGACACAGCGCCGATTCCAGCTGCTCACGCATCATGCAGTCTTTCCCTCCTCGAGCCATAGTGGGCTACGCGCGCGAGCTGGCCTCCTTTGCGAAGCTGAGGGACCTTCCCGGCACGGACCTGAGGCGCTTTGCGTCGGTGGACGCGCTCGGGCACCTCTTCTGCTCCGACCTCTGCTGGATCGGGGCCAGTGCGGGGGGCCTGGTAGAGATTGCCAGCGCGCACGGGATCAGGGCGGCAAGCTGGTTCCAGTCGTTGGGGCAGGACGGGTGTGCGTTCTTGAACAGAGAGGTCGGATCCCGCTATCTTGAGCCTTCATGCGGCTGGCGGTTTGTGAACTTCGCCAGCGCGGCAGCTCTGGAGGAGACGCTGAGGTGCGATACGCGGATGGCAGCGCCGCTGAGCAGAATCAAGACGGTGATGCCCATCCCGCCAGAGTGTCCGCGCGACATGGTTTTCGATTACGAGGAGAGCGTGCCCCAGTTTGTCATCTGATAGCTCACAGAGGAACTGAGGAGCTCCGATCCGGTCGAGTTGCCTGAGCAGCTCACAAACAGAATCACCCTTTCGCCGTCATGGGGTCGGGACTCTTCTTGGTCCTCCACCACTGCCCCTCTCCTCCACCCTCCCTCTCCCCCTCGTCGTGGACCTCCTTCCGCCTCCGTCTGCCCCTCGCCCCCTCCCACCCTCGCCTTGCTTCCCCTTCTCTGCATCCGCGTCATGCGGCCGCCGCCGCCGCCGCCGCCGCCGCCGCCACCCCTTCGGCGTCACGCGGGCGCAGAAGGGCTGGGGGCCCCGAAGGACAGCGGGAGGTCTGAGCTTCTCCTCGCCCCCCCCGCAGCCCCCAATCGCGACGCGAGAGGTCGGGAGGAAGTGGGGGCCAGAGCGCCTGAGCGTCCGCGCCGACCAGAAGAAACGGGCCGCGGCCAGCGTGAGCGCGCTCCCCCTCGCAAGCCTGCGCCATTCGGCGTCCGTGTCGGCAGCGCCCAGACATGCTCACGCTGTGTGTGTGTGTGTGTGTGTGTGTGTGCGTCGCCCCCCCTAGGGGCAGCGCGCGCTCTGAATTCTTCTAGTGTGCAGTCGGGGCCCTGAAGAAGGAACCCTTTTCGTTGGGGAGGGGCTCGGTGTTCCTTGATTGTCTTACAGCTTGCCTCAGGTTTTCCCTAGGTTTTCCATGGGGAGTCGAAGTTTAAGTTAAGGGAAGCAGGGGCCTCGTTCCTTATTTAGGGTTCCTTAGGTCAACGCCCCGACTGTAGGGGCAGCGCGCGCTCAGAGTTCTTCCAGTGTGGGCTCGGTGGCGGGTGCTTTTTCTGGCCACCCAGGCCGCCTGGGCGATGATGTGCTGTGAGAGGTGTCTGCTCTACGGGCTCGGCTCGGGCGTGCGCCTCCCCCCGACATGCCCGCCAAGTGATGTTCAAACCACGGGTCGCGGCCTGCGCGACACCTCATCGAGCGATTTCTGGCCGGGACAGCCCTGTTTTGGCACGCCCTCCTCCTCTGCCGAGCGCGGAGCAGTTCTGGTGCGAGCGCACTCTGTAGAAGCACTTGGCATCGCTCGGACGTGTGCCTTTTTCCTTCGGCGAGGACCATCGAGGAGCATCCTTGATCATTGGGCGAAAAAACACGCACGAAACCGAACAACGCACAGGGAATGGACGTCCGAGCGATGGCGAGAGCATGCTGCAGCAGGCCCATCGGCATGCCAGGACGGCCGGCCCCTGCTCCGCATGGGGGCGCACCGCACTGGCACGGCCAGGGCGCCGAGGCAGGGGCCAGGCTGGGGCTCGGGAGGGGCTCGGGCTCCCGGGCCGCTCCCTATGGCTTCTGTGCCGTGGAGCCCGCTTGCAAGCAGTGGCGAAGCGTCCCGGCGTGCTCATAGCCCCGAGGAGAGGAGGAGGCCCCTTCATAAGATCAGGGGGATCGACAGGGGGTGGACCGGCTCGGGGGGGTCCGACAGCCCACCCCTGCCCCGGGAGCGCTCGTGGGCCCGCCCTCGGGGGCCTCCTCCTCCTCCTCCTCCTCCTCCTCCTCCTCCTCCTCCTCCGGCTCGACGGGGGTCCGACGGCCCACCCCTGCCCCAGAGGAGCGTCCGTGGGCCCGCCCCTGGGGGGCCCGTCGCCGACCTCTCTCGGCGGTGCACCGCCGATCTCCAGCCCGACGCCCTCCCCCCCTTCCCCCCCTTTCCTCCTCCTCTCCTCCCCCTCCTTCTCCTCTCCTCCCTCCTCCTCCTCCTCCTCCTCCTCCTCTTCCTCCTCCTCCTCCCCCCCCTCCCCCCCTTTCCCCCCCCTTTCCTCCACCTCCTCCTCCTCCTCCTCCTCCTCCTCCTCCTCCTCCCTCCCCCCTCCCCCCTGAGCTGGTCCCCGCGAACGTTCACCCTCAGAGAGAGAGAGAGAGAGAGAGAGAAGGGGGGTCAAGGGGGGTCACCGCCCCCCAAACCACCCCAAGCCACGCCGATTTCCAGCTCGACGCTCCCCCCCGCGCCCCCCCCTGGGAGCTGGCCCCCGCGAGCGTTTTTTGCTCTGCGGGGCGAGAGCGAACCTCGTCCGCTAAGAGCTGGGCGGGCTACGCGCAGCTCTAATTGAGGAGGACAGGGTACGGGAGGGCGGGGCCTCAGGCGGCCGGTCCCCACGAGCGTTCCCCCCCCAGAGAGAGAGAGAGGGAGAGAGTCAGCCACGCGCAGAAGGGGGTGGGGGGAGGGGGGAGGGCTTCTTAGGAGCACCCCTGCTTCTTAGAAGGCGCGAGCCTTATCTATAGGTGTAAGGCGGGCGCCTTCTAAGAAGCAGCCTGCTTCTAAGAAGCCCTCCCCCTTCCCCCCACCCCCTTGTGCGTGCCGCCAAGAGGGAGAGAAAGGGGGGGTCACCGCCCACCAAGCCACCCCGACCCGACCCGAGGGCCCCGCTGCGCCTTCCGCTTCCAGTTTTTGGGGGGATCGGGGATCACGAAAACACATTTTTTGGTCTGCGGGGCGAGAGCGAACCTCTTCCGGTAAAAGCTAGGCGGGCTACGCACAGCTCTAATTGGGGAGACACCGAGGAACACGAAAACACACCTGAAGCCTGTATCCCCCCCAACCCCAAATTCGGGTCTTCGGGTTGGGTTGGGGTGGTCTGGTGGGTAGTCAGAGAGTGATGACGACGACGACGATGACAATGATGACGACGACGATGACGATGACGACGAAGTTGTCATCGGCATCGTCGTCGTCGTTGTCGTCGTCTTCATCATCGTCGTCGTCATCAACTGTCATCGGAGAACAAGCAATGGTCTAAACATAACTCTCGGAGGTCCGCGCGGATCGTTTCGGGATCGGCGCTGGAGAGAACTCCCCCTCGGCGGCGCCGCATGTGGCGCTCCGCACGCGCCAGGGAGGGGTGTCCCCGGCGCAGAGCCAAGACGTCCGTGGGGACCTCTAAACTGTCATGCTTCTGTCCATCTTTCCTTCGCCAAGTAATCGAAGAAAAACATACGCCAGAAACATAATTTCTGGCGCTCCGCGCGGATTTCTTGCATCCGCGCTGGGACCCCCTGGCGGTGCCTCCGGCGCCGCCCCTGGCGCAGGGAGGGGGGTCCTGCGCGGATGCGAGAAATCCGCGCGGAGCGCCGACAGTTTATGTTGATGCCGCTCTTTTTTTCCTCTTCTAGAGAGAGAGCCCCCCCGCCAGTATCGTCCACGACTTCCGTCGCCAGCTGGTCGTGGCGTGCATACGCCCAGAAGGCAGCCTCCGCGTCGTCAGCGGCAAGGACCGCTAGCCTTTCCTTCGCGGCGCGTGGCGGCGCGTCGCGGCGCGGCGCCCTTTCTTCGAGTAGGACATCGACTGCATAGCTGATGTACCCCAGTTTGTTACCGCTTCGAATTCTGCAACATATGGGTATACTGTTCGTAGTAGATCTACGAATATCATAGTTTTGGCAGCGTCGATGACCGAATCAAGTCTTGGGTAGGTCAAGTCTGCAGTCGATCCCCTCCTTGAGTTACCGGAGGGTGAGGGGGGGATTGAGGAGGCCTGTAACGTCACGGCTCACACCAGCGCCGTCTGGGAAGTGGATACCACTAGCGATCCCAAACGGCGCTGGCGCGAAACCCGACGTTACCTGTTCGGGGGGGGGGAGTGTCCCTGATGGCCCTTCTCGCGAATCACAGAACAACGCGCTCGTGCAGACGAAGGCCAACGGTGAGGCTTCGCGCGGCGCACAGCGCGCGCCCCCCCCCCCTCCCGGGTAGTCCTGGCCGGCCTCGCCCCCCTCGGCGCCGCCTCTGGAGGCGCACCTGGGACGCTCCGCGCCCCAGGGTTGGCGTGTTGACATCGCCCCTGGCTTTAAGTCGGGCGCGTCCCTCTACAGGAGGAATATTCAGAAATAGTCAGAAAAAGTCAGGGGACGATGTTTTGAGTATTTCTAACTATTCTTGAGCATTTTTAGGGGTATTTTGAATTTTCCGTCCAAGATCCGCCCGTAGGGGGACGGGCCCGCTGAAGCCAGCTGGGGCCACTCGGGTGACCTGTTGACGCCCGCCAGGACTACCTGGGTTGCCTGTGCGCAGCCGAGGCCCCGCCAACGACCGACATCAGCCCCTGCCAATTTCGAACTGGACTCGCGGACGGTTTCGCTTCGAACGTAGCCCACTTGACACAGCAAGTCTGGATCGGGCCGGACGAAAGGGGGGGATTGGGAAGGGGGGGGTACGAAATTTGCTGCATGCAGCTGGTTCCGGCCTCGCCGAGGGGCCCATCCCTCGATACATGGCCGCCTCCGGCGCCGGGAGGCGCCGGGAAAATCAGCTGCGTGCGCTGATTCTCAAACCCCCCCTTTGCTATCCCCCCCTTGCGCCCGACCCGACTGGAGCCGGCTGGGGGTCTGAGGCGGCCCAGCACCGGCTCCGGCAAGCAGCAAGGGGAGGGCGAGGTTGGAGGCTCGTGGGTTCGAGGGGGTCTTTGTGCCTCTGTCGGTCCCCGGGGGGCCCGTCTCGTGGCCCCGGGGCCGCAAGCAACGGATCGCGCCAGGATGAACGAGTGCACCGGATGGGTTTGGGGCCGATGTCGAGCGGATTTGCCTGTGTCCCCTCCCTCGAGAGAGAAAGAGAGAGAGAGGTAATGAGAGAGATCAACATAAATATGCACACACAGATATTCGACGGCCCCATGCAGTTCAGACCCCCGGCAAACTCCAATCGACAGCGGCTCCTGCCAATTTTCAACAGGACCCGCTGACGGTTTCGCATCGGACGCTGTCCACTAAGGCAAGTCGCCTGTCCGAGCGGCCGCTGTCGGTTGTGGATGACGTTTGCTGTGGGGCGTCGTGCGCCGCAGTTTTCCGTACCCATGCGCGTGTGATGTCAGCAAGTTGGTGTACGCTTCAGTCGGGCCAGTCCTTCTAGAAGAGGAACATTCAAAAAGAGTCAAGCAACAGTCGGGGGTTTGACTACTTTGAATCATTCCTGTAGGGAGACATGCCAGACCTAAGTGTACGCGATCCCCAGAAAACGCACAGACACAATGAATCGTCGATCCTGAGGAAAATATGGGGAAAATATGGGAAGTGGCGGGGAAAACGAAAATCGAGGGACATATGAGAAACTATGGGGAATTATGTGAGTTGTGTCCATTTATTTAATTGCTTCGCTCATTCCGCCGGCCCTGGAGCCCTCTTTGGGGCCTCTTGGGGGCCTCTTGGGGACCTCTTG